TTGGCAAAACCCCTCACCAACAACGTTTATGGAAAGTAGACAGCCACGGGAGAAGAGTCCTGGCATGGCTAAATAACAGAACAAACGACAGGGAACAAGGTAGTAGTAAATGGTCAGTTCTCACAATGCAGGAAGATAATCAGTGGAGTTCCCCCAGGACCTGTTCTATTCAACATGTTTACAAGAGATGAACACTGAGGTGGCAGCTTGCTGACGTTTAGAAGTTATTCGATAGTATGGGAAAGAGCAGACTGTGAAGAATTGCAGAAGGATGAAACTGAGTAATTGGACAATAAATGACAGAGGAAGTTCAATGTGTATAAATGCAAAGTGCATAATGGGAAAAATAATTCTGGCTTGATAAAGAAAATGAAGGTCTCCAAACGGACCAACACTGGAAAGCTGATGTTGTGACAGACAGTGTCATGAAGATATTAGTTCAGTGCTCAACTGAAGTAAAAAAAGCAAATCACTGTTAGGCATTTTTAGAAGAGGAACAGAAAGCATAATTATTCCACTACACATATCTATCATTTATGCACACTTTGAATGCAGTACTGATCACCCTCATTTGAAAATGAGTAGATTGAAACTGGAAAAGATATAGAGCCAGGAAAGTATGATCAGAAGTGTGGAATGGTTTCCACCTGAGTTGAGTTTTCAGTGATAGAGAGCTACAAATTCACCATGGGGATGAACAGACAAGCCATTCATTGTTTCTTCCCACACATACATAAAGTGATCAGAGTAAGAGAGCAGGAACCAGGAGGCTTTTCTTTCTAACCAAAGAGCAGGAAATGTTCCTTTTGGAAGCTTCCTCCTTGCCAATAGATGCTCTCATCCAAGTGTGTTACATGAGGGGACCGGAAAAGTATTTGGAAGAAAGGGATTCCTTTAGTATTTATAAGCTGACAAACACAACAAGTTCAATAAATGTTTTTGAAAAGTTTGAATTTAGCAACACTGAGGTCATTTTGATGACTGAAAATAGAGAGTCTTTATTAAGGTTGTCCTATGCTGATGGAACCTGTCATGTGACCAGCTGAAATCAGAAAGGTTGGAAAGTTGTTGTACTTGAAGAACATTGCAGTAAGGTAAAGTATTCACATGATGGCACTTGCAAAGACGTAATCAATGTAAGAACAGAATCAAGACAATATAGTTCAGTGCTCTGTCACTGAGACCTCCACCACTACTATACTGGATGCTATTTAGTCTTTAAAAATACTTTTTTTTCTTTTTAGGTTTATTCCTGGAAGCTTGTAAATTCATTACATTTGTAAGGAACACTAAAGTCTTGGGTAAGATTATAACCAGTTAATATTTAAGGAGAATGAATTGTCTCTTCTGGCCACATGGTCATAAACTGTTGATATTAGTTCTAATGTTGACTGTAGAATGAACAAAGAGTATATGATACATCATTACTAATCAAATCAAAGGCTGTATCATGGCACAAGCACTCCTCTCACTGATGTTTTATGTACTTGTTTAGACTCTTATGTGGAATGTAATCTTTCTGAGGAAACTCTTAGCAAAAGAATAAACTTGTCCATGGCTAAAACTCACAGGTCCCATATCAGCAATAAGTAAACAAATTTTATTCTTAACAGACTCAGTCTTCTCAAACAAGAGGATCTGAGGGAAGAACAAATTCCCTGGTAGGTAAGACAGAGTCTGTTAACCTTTAGAATATACTGCAACCTTTCCTCTTTGATAAAGCTTTTCCATCATAATGTTTGTAATAAACATTTTTAAGAATTCTACTACCCAAACCCCTGCTTCAGGAAGATTTTCACATTAAAATAAAGAGAAGAAAAAGAGCAGAGATGTCTTGACTTTGTAATTGCTAATTTAATCATTAGTGGACATGTTCAAAACAATGCTATAATGCATGTCAAACTATTAACAGTTGATGGTACAAAGACTGCTATCATGGTAACTCATACGCTAAGTTATGGGGTTAACAACGTGATTCATGGATAATTTTTGAACCATTAAAAAAATAAAATCATCAAACCCATGGTTTTAATAATTTGCCATACTATGGCAAGTGGTGGTATTACTGTACCTATTTCCAGCAAGCATAAGCAAGAAATTCTGAACATACTTATGGAAGCTAAAAATAAAATAGAATTGTATATCCACTGCTGAAGTAAACTGTTTACTAAATATCTATTATTACATTATAACACATAATATGACAAACTGCCAGTTTGGCTTACATTACTGTACTTTCAAACAATAATCAAGAGTTGGCAGAGAGCTAGATAAGTGCTCATTTACTGCATTTTGTATAAATCTAAATGAATAAATGTATGGCAGGTTGTCCTCATCTAACTTCTCCTGGCTGATACTGGATTGTTCCTTTTTTGCACCATACATGTTTTGGCATATTTTACAAGTCTAGACTTAAATGTCTGGAACAGTCACAAACTGACTCTCATACTGATAATTCCTGCTCCATGTGCAAGGAAAAGAGTACAAGATGTCAACTAAGATGAAGGTGCTGTTAGAAGGGTCTATTCTGAATTATCTTTCATATGGAAGGAATCTTGTAACTTTGCACTGGACACTGTGCAGGGTTGCAAGACTGTACGCTGTTTGAATGATATGTTAGAGTGAGGAACGTGCCTTCTCCTGACTAAGTTAATGTTGCAGTAAGTCACATAAATACATCACTATATTAATTTGCCTGCAAGCTCTGATCAACATAAAAGAAGTCACCTAATGTCACTTTGCATGCCAGTGTTGTATTCTTCCCTACCAAACACTAAACTTCCTTCCCCCAACCCCCCCAGCTTATCATTTTACAACTAAAGTTTTCCATCGTAGGAAAACCGAATCAGGTTTATGGTAATATTTCATATTTTATATCAGCCTTTTAGTTCCTTCAAAGCCTTGAGAAGTGATCAAATAATTTTGTTTTTGCCTTCATCATGTGTTGTTACTGCATCTGAAGAACTGATCCATCCATTATCACTTCTCAAGTAACTAACCAAAGCGTAACTTTAATTTTGACAGAAGAAATCAACTATTAATGTGTATAAGATAGAGAAATGCAAGATGATAATTATTTTTGGGATTAGAGAGTCATTCAAATACTTATTTTATAAAACTTTACACTGTTACAACAAATTGGCAAAAACCTTAAGAACGTAGAACTAAAAATCAAATTTTGTGTTTATTATAATGACCCTTATGTTTGATATAGTACTTCACTTTATTTTTGTAATTTAATTATTTTATTTATGCAAATAAGGCCCCAAATGCTATTGCACTCAAGAAGTTAAACACTTGACATTTTTACTCCTTAAAATGCAACATTTGATGATGTCTAGATATGTTTATTAATTAGTGATTAGTAACACCCAGTAAACAACATCATGTCTTGTAAAAACACAATCTTTCTTCACAGCGTGAGGCTGAAATCTATTATTCACTGATTCCATATGCTGAAATACACTCAAATGATCACAAATGACCTTAAGCATTAGATAAATGTAAATGAGGACAGGGTAGAAAATGTGCTTTTGATTGATATCTAAAAGACCAGGTTTGAAGTCTTGACAAGAGATGAAATCTGAAATCTCATACAAAGTAGATGGCAATGGGTAATCTACAAAATCTAAGCTTCTGGATGGATGTACCATACAGCCTCTCCTCATCAGGGATGAGTGTCTGAAGCTGCTCACAAGAAGTGTTCAGCACAGGGAACCTGAGAGACCATTCCTGGGGCCCGTGTGGCCTTTGTCTACTTGGCAGGCACTTATTAGGACGCAGAGATATATCTCTAAGTTATATGCACATACACCCTAATGAAGGCAGAATTTTTCTAACCCTAAGTGCTCACTTAAAAGAACTTCTCCACACAGAATGGCTACATAAGCATAGGGATAAATGATGTGAATGATAGCCATTAAAATTGTATGGGTTTAACCCTCTATGTTAATAAGCTTATTCTGCTGTAACAGCTTGCCTTTCTCAGCCCTTTTTCAGCTTTACTTTTGTCACTCTGAGAAGGACTGAGAGCCCTTCTGGAATGAGAATCACCAAAAAAAAGAAGATTTAGCCACACAAATAAGAGTGCACTATTTGCTCTCAGGTAGCCACCTCTAAGCACATTCTAATCCTTAAACCTACACCACAAATATGAAGTCCTTCACAATTTACTTTAAAAACTCTGCAAGAGATGAACACATTTCAAATTTTCAGCTGCTTCCAGTCCCTACTGTACCTGGAGATGCCTCAGTGAAATAGATAAACAGCTAACCTCAGTGGTATCACCTGTTACAGGATGGGTCACAAAGGGCTCTGGAGATGATCTGAAACCAAATTCTCTGAACCTCTATAATGGTAACCTGTGGGGCTAACTCGGAGACAACAAAGCTGGTGCCCTATGAGAAAAATGCTGGGTGCACCCTGCACCTTAGGACACAGTCAGTGAGAAAAGGGCCCCAGCATGTTGTGCCTGTCTCCCACGCTCCCCATCTGTCCTTGCAGTGACAACACAATACTGATTGCATAGGCAGGATGACCAAAAAAATGCCCATTGAGGCTCTGACAACATCTACCTCAGGGGCAAATGGGATCTGTTGCCACCCTGAATTCTCAGAGCTATTTAAAATGAAACCTGACAGTGATTTAGGTACATTTGTTCCAAGTTTCGTATTCGGTAATGGCTAATGTTGACTCTGAAGCAGCCAAATTTCAACCATGCACTAAACCACAGCTTGAAGAGACACAGTTTATGCCAAAAAAAAGTTCAAAGGAAAGAGAGGTTATGTCACCAAGATTAATCATATTATATTTGCTATGTTAAAAAGCAATCTGATTATTTTTTTAGTACTTCCAAACTTATGTCTTGCATCACTTACCTACTTGCATATACATCTGTGTCAGCATCAGTATTATAGATCACACTTTCACATACATTTCACACTTACATTAAATACACAATTACATGCAAGAATCAGTAAAACACTTTAGTAGAATCTTACCGGCTTGACACTTTTTGAGCCTTAAATACTCCTGCATTCTGGTTTCTTGTGATGATCTCACTTACATCTGTAGCATATTTGTTAAGAATTATATACAGCAGTAATAAAAATAATAATAATTTTTTTCCCCATGGTTAATACCTTCATGTCTTTAATCTGTGCTGCGTCAGTCTTTTTTTCAGAATTATAAATTCTACATTGCTACTCCAGCATATAAGTCATATATCTAAGCAGCAACTTGCTCTTGTTGCCTACCTCTATTCACTGCTTCATTTCAAGAATTGCTAGCCTTGTAGCTATAGAGGGAACTGAAAAAGACTTCCCATACCTTATATACATTTAAAGGCAACTTGTTTACAAATATAAGAATTACAAGCATGGTGAACAGAAGTTTTTTAGCCTGGTCACTTAACATCCGGTTTAGTTTGTGCTGCTTTTGACTGTATCACTAGATCACAGTGCTGTGATTTTTGAGTTTTGAGCACCTACCCTACCACAAGACACATACCTTTGTTCCTGGCTCTGTCTGGATGAAAGCCAGCACACAATAGAAGCACCTTAACCTATATGCAAGGGAGTTTCTAGTCCATTTTCTTTCCTGAAAATGGTTTGGAACCACTACAAGATATAGTACAAAGCACTAAATGCCTTTTCTTCCCCATAGGCACAACTGTTCCTCAGCCTCATGTCTCAATGCCTCAGCCTCATGTCTCAGCTTCTTTCAGTTTGTAAGACCAGGTCTCAAACTTGGGTAGTTGTTCAGGTGGGCCAAAGGAAGAGCTGTCAATAAAAAGTTTCAAGGGAAGTTGTGCCCAGTCATCTATGCCTAGAAAGATACCCTTCATAATCAATCATCTGTGGTTAGTGAGAAAACATTGGAAAGAAAAGGTGCAGCAAGTAACCAAAAACTATGAGAATACTAAATGTGATCCAGTGTGAATCCATACATATTTGGATGATCCATTCTCAAATATAAAAAAAAATATCTTAAACAGACACCTTTATTAAAGATGTCAATGATCCCTTTTTCTTATTTAAGTTACATTAAATCTGATGTTAATTAGGAGGGTGCTTCTAGGTACACAAAATATGTTGAATTCTTTGCCAGTCCTCTTATAAGAAAATTGAACACTAGTGTCAGGCTAATTTTAAAATATCACTGATGTATCTTTGTATTTGCTTTGCTGAAATCACATAATTGGCCTTTCTAACACAGTTGACTATTTAAGAAAAGTTGTTTTAGGAAAGCCTCTATCCAAACAATGTAGAAGAAAAGGCAGCTGGTATTTCATGAAGCCAAAACCTAGAAATGGAATGACAGAAAACTGTTTTAAGCAAATCTCCGTAGTTTGGACATGCCTTTTAAATCTTTTCCACAATATGCAATGAGAAGCAGTAATGAATGGTCGATACTTGTGAAGCAAAAGGAAGGCATAAATAATTCCATGAGCATAGCGTGCTATTTTTAAGTACAAGTGGAAGTAACGCTGATAAATTAGCTATACTGCACTTGAATTATATAACTGAGTAAAACTATTAATAATTGTTGTAAACATGTTAACACCAGCTTTTTTAAATAATTTATGAGACCATGTCTTCAGGCATCCAGGCTGAACATGACCTTTCTAACCTAAATTTCCCAGGACTGTTGAAAGATCCATACACTATATTTTAATGGCCATTATAGTGGACTGCAACAATGTTTTGTATTGTTGATGCTTTCAGACAGTAGTTCAAGTCAGTAGTGCATGGTACGAAACAGAGCTAAGACGGAAGGTACACAGCCCCTCTGAAACAGGAGACAATTTTTACTAAAAATGAACCTCATCCTTGGCTTTGGACATGTCAAACTGAGTATAGATGCTTCCAATGTTCTGGGGAAATAGAATTGGATGTTCATGACTGATGATGTCATAGATCTTACCTAAGTTTAAAAATTTGATTCTGAACACATATCACCCAAAATTAAAAAGAAGGATGATAACTTTACCTGTGTATATCTTTATTATTCACTTGAAAAATCTATTTTTCTTTTTAATACTTAAATTATTCTGAAAGAACTTAGATAAAACACACTACTGCAACAATAAAGTTTTGAACAGAGCTGCAAAAGCAATAACATCTGTCTTTATTCTATTGATTTTGCAATATAAATGATCTGTTAATCAATTAAAATCTGCCCATGATAAGCAAAATGAGTGAGTTGGAGTGAAGTCTTTTAAATGGACTAATAACTCAAATCATAATATCCTTTTAAAAACCTCCATAAACCTCATGCATAAGACCATTGATTAATGTAAGTATAGCTACATATTTCACAGTGAAATGGTGAAAATGATAATTATTTGAAATTAACGTTCACAAATTGTTTTAACTTGTAATATTTCAATAACATATCCAGATATAGATATTGAAAACATACATAGCGAATACTTCATGTGGCAGTATGAAATGGAGAGTAATATGAAGAATATAAAAAATTAAAAGAAAAATCAAATCCTCAAAAGCTTGAGAGTTCACAAAGCAAAGCTGTTAGTTACGCTCACTGAATAGCAATAACAACAACAAAACCAACAATAATTATGATGATGATGATAATACAAAGGCAGATTCTCAGACGCAATGCACTATTGCCAGGTCGATTTTCAATTACATTTCACTGATGTATTCATTTGTTTCTTAATGTGCTCATCTTGCCCATTAAGAATAATTAGCAGGCTTGCTTGGTGATTTCCTGGCTTCTGACAGTGAATTTTTTTCTTTTTTGTTGACAACCACTTTTACTTTTTGGAAAGTAATTTTTGGATATTATAGTATGACTGGCATGTAATTTAAGCTTCCTAAGAAATTTAAAGGGAAGATGTAAACAGTAATTTTAAACCAAGATTATTTTAATCTATAATACCTACATAAAAAGCATAATACTAGGCATTAACTATTACTGAAGAGCAGAATCTAGAAAAGAAAACAGTATTTTATCCCACATTAATTTAATTTGGCATGCTAAACAATTAAAAAATACCATCAGCAATAACAAAAAATAGCAGAAATATATCATTAGTAGTCTGTGGCACTTGGGGCCAAACACTATTTCCAATTACGCTAAAAATTCTTACTGATAGTGAGTCTGGTGTGGCTGAAACAGATCTAAATTTAGCCTAAACTTCTGTTATAGCTAGTCACTACAGAAAAGAATGCAAAAGAAAATTACCGTAAGACAGATCATAAAATTACTACTGAAGTCCATAAAACATATACAATGCAACATAAATTTTATTATGTGCACTTTTAAGAATACATTCCACCTACACTGTAAAGTTCTTACTCTGCTGCACTTTGGCACCCTGCTAATATTAAGCCCATTGTAAAATCCAACACAATAAAAGCACTTTGAATGCTGAGCCTCCAGAGCACCAAATGTTAAAAAAAGAAAAATAAATTCCTGTTAGAGCCTTCCACCAATCGCTTCTCTGAAAGGGATTCACTGAGTGAATACAGATGAAGACTTCTCCTAAGACTTTTGGAAATAAAAGATATTTTTAAAACATATATATAGTGTGAAAAACTAAGGTGTGCTAATTAGATGACATTAACAGTATCCTTTTCAGAAATAAAAGCACTTTAATTTGTTTAATTCCAAAGACTGAGTGAATACTTTTAGCACTCAGCAATTTCCCTTGCTATAAAAGACTTCTAAATTTCAAAAAAGTTCCGGTATGTTTATGGAATCTGCCATGCAAGATCTTTGCTGACTTGATGATTATTGAGCTCACCTGAAGCTTTCTGTGGGTAAAATGACCTTTTGTTAAATACCTATGCTTCTATAAAACATCAATTTGTTTTGTTAGGTTAGTTTTGAAACAGTCTTTTTCTCCCACATTTTTTATCTTCATAATGACATAGAAGAAAATTGGAAGGGGTGATGCTGATTAAAATACACACAATAATGCGTATTTCCTCCTCAAGACATGTGTATAATAAACTGGAATTTAACAAAATAAGAATCCCTGGAATGCAACTGAAATCTTGCATTTTCGAGATAAAAGAGACTTTTATAAGGCTTCCCTCAAGTTTTTAAAGATATGATCTAGGATTGGCTGTTTTTTCTATGAAATTGTTAAAGTGTTGTAAGAAATTATAGTTACCTCAGTTACCTCTGAGTAAGTCCTTTTAAATGTAGTAGCTAATATTATTGCATTGCAATGTCTTCTGTTTTAACAGTCATCAGCAACCGCATTTTTTAAAAACCACAAATTAGTTTAACTTATTTTTTTCACTAAGTGCTCATTATATTAGCTCTCAAATACATACAAAACTCAAATCTAAATAATTCTGATGATGCAGTGACTAAAAATGCAAATGGAAAGATTACCAAGTAACAAAAGCAAATAGATATCTTCCTTTTTTTCCTCCCAATTTCTAAGGGCTATTAGTATTCACTGTATATATCTGTACTTGTTCTGTGCTGATATTTAATGTGGCAACAAATTATGCTCACTCATTCTCATGCTTAGCCAAAGTCCAGTTCAATTTTCTGAACTATGTGTTCATATTAGAAGGGCATAATAGCAATTTATTCTAATATAAGAAATATAATAAAATACTTTCTGCAAGGGACAGAGGACTTTTGCAATCTTACGTTAAGAGAACTAATGATAAATTGATAATTGATTAAGCACACTAAATGGGTAATCTGTAGGCAGTTATAACTTAGCAGCAACAATGAAACCATGCATTTCCATATACACTGGAAAGGCTATGACAGTATACAAATAGTGGCTATGTTTTAAGAGTCTAGTATCTGAAAGTAAAAAAAAAAAAAAATTTTAAGAAAAAATCTAGTTCTCCTGCAAAACGAATATGTGAAGGGGAGCTAATGATTTGAATCACTGCTACACCTACTGTAACGTGCAGCATACACACAGGAATCTTTCAGCACTCAACCATAAGACAAATATTTACTACTGTACTTGCTTTATACCAACACATACATTTTTAATTAAAGAAGAAAATGTGGCATTTATTGTGGGGGAAGATGTAGCTCTGTTCAAGATATTCTACATCTATTTTTTAATTACTTATGTGGGGACTTTTTCTTAATATACCCCATGCTGTCTGTCTTTATATCGATTGTTACTCAGCCAGTAAAAAGGAACGAGCACAACAAACCAGTTTTCTATCTGAATAAGGATACTTTTGATGGCCTTTTCATTTCCATCAGTTAACAGAACTTCTTTGACATCTGCAGAAATAGCAACCTGAAAAAAAGAGCACAGCAAACAATGAGCAAATATGCTTGTCTGTGTGGAAGTGAAGACAGGAGTGACAAGCCTTCAGTATCATGCTTCCTCACCTATTTCTCTGTAACAATCTTCAATCTTTTTTCATTTTATGTCTGCATTATTTTAATCATTCAATCAAATCAGTCAATACTTTTATCATTCCATTTGCGGGAGCCTCTATCTTGCTATCATTCTGTTCCGTAATTGCATTGTGACAGCGGATGATGGTATTCTGAGAGGCTTTCATTTGCGGGCTTCTGTTTATCTAGTAGAGCCATCATACAAGGCTGTCACTCTGCCTTTCAGCTTGCTTCTGTCTGACTGCCTGATGCCCTTCATATAACTTTGCATTGCAGGCAGATGGCTTTGTAAGGGTAATTTTTTTGTGAGCTTTGACATGCTCGCACATTGGGCTGTAACCTCGACACATTGTATAAGAGCGACAGGTTTGTCAAATGCCAATCAGTGTAACAATATGCTTTTATTTGTAGAGACATAAAAACTTGTCTAATGCACTGCACTGCTACATAATATCTCCTGAATACATGACTCAGAACCCAGAGAATGGTGAACGACTCTCCTGAATGGCCAATCTAATTCAAAAGAATCTAATTACCGGGAGCTCTGGATCATGTTTGTTGGTGTAATAATGCAGGCAAAACATTAGCAGCTATATCATGGTGCTCCAACTGTGATTCGCCAGGCTATTCCTGTATCTTAGCAAATGGGACTATAATCTGAAAAAAAAAAAAAAAGCTTCGGCTATGGCAATGAAAGACAGACCGTACGTGGCCTGGAATGTCACAACAAGAGATATTGACTACACGGAGGTAAAATGTTTCTGCTCATCGAGGCAACCATAAAATCAATATGATACGAAAGCAAGTCAATCTAGAAGGTCTCTCAAGACTCTGCAGCTTGACCGCAGCTGAGGCTGTTGACAGTTCTCTGACCCAGCAGTTGGAGGCACTGGAACATTTTTCCTTTTGTTTCTTCCTCTGAATGGGATTGGAATTGAGAAAAGACCTACCATGAGCCCAGCCAAGCATGTCATGCCACCCCCTAGCTCACACACAGCAAGGTCCCTGAAAGAGAGAAAGGAAATGGTAGAACCCATACAAATTAGATGAAAATGGTCAGAGAGACATATATGTTACAAGAACAAATTGCCATCTGCAGTAAGAACTGAGCTACCAGGAAGTTGTAGAGACATGACTAGGCTACCTCATGTCGTTTTGCGTTTTAAAAATAATTATGAAATAGAAAAGTCACAAAGCAGGCAAATCAGTGGGGGTTCCCTCATTAGTGTTCAGTGCAACATTACCACCGCTGAGCTGAAAAATCTGAGAAGGTTCCCTTTTTTCCCTTGTCAATGGCTCTGTCTTTTAGAACTAAACTAGCTAGAGTAGCGAAAGATAATTGTTAGGAAAGGATAACAATGTTAATCCACATTCATTCTTGCAAAAACAGTTAGAGAAGTAAATGGGGAAATTAATATTATTTATATATCTCTCCATATAGTTATACCTAAAAGCCTTTCTATATTAAAAAGAGAAGTTTTAAAACAAGCTGTATACCACAAAACAATTACACATGAAGAAATCCAATCCTTCAATTAGCACTTAAAACTGCAAGTGACCTACAAACAATGCTGTTATGAACAACGATGGGAACAGCAAACAGTTAAGCCACAGAAAAGTAAACGAAGTTAGTGTCAAGAGCCTAAACTGAGCCTGAGCAGAGGGTTGAATACATGGTCTAAAAGGCTGCTTTTAACTTAGACCATACTGCGCTGTTATTAAGGCGTGCATGTGAAATATAATTTGGAGCAGAGAGCGTGCCGGATGGGAGCTTGCAGGGGGAGGCATAAAGAATGTCCTCCAGAGCCACAGTCCTGCCCCAGGAGGGAAGGAGGGAGGGGTGCTGACCCCGCGCCGAAACTGCGTGAAGCGGCGTCTAGGGCAAGGCAGAGCCTCAGTTTAGGAACATGCTGCTTTATAGCTAAATCTGCAGCAACTGTTGCAGCTGGCAGAAACGTTCCATCGACAGGCAGAAAATGGAATTTCAGCTAAACCGATTTTTTCTTGGTGCACCTTTTCTTGTCCTCTAAAGTACCAACATTTGAAAACGTACTTTTATGTGAAAGTATTACCTCCCTACTCACTCGACACTGGTATTTAGAAAAAGCCTCTAGGATGCTATATCAGTATACAAATGCTGATGCTTTGTCCACTGAGGCCAGTGGACTAGGCTGTATGACCTATGTTCACTGTCTGGGCAGGATAGGTTTATTTTTCTTAGATTCCACAAAATTTATTTGAAAAAAAAGTCTAGTTGTCCTATTTAATGGAAATGAGACAAAAGACGGACACATGGTTCAAAGGAACAAGCTGTACACAAACCCAACGAGAATATAAAATAGATTTAGGGAATTTGCAGTTTGTGGTTTAAATAGAATGATTATAGGTTCTTCCTCACATATGTTTTACATTTTCAAAACCATATATGTCATATATTAAAAGTTATACGTGGCTATATATATAAGATTTACAAGGTATTTAATCCTTTATAAGAGTCATGTTTACTGAAATAAACAGAAAGTATCTAGTGTGGGGTTTTTAGTGCATTTTAAGCCAAATCTGTATATATATATATATAACATATAAGCATATACATGCACACATACAGACATACATATTTATGTATATAAATACATTTCAGTGCAAAGTTCTCTCACTAGCAAATTTTAAAAATCATATCCATCAGGTAATATTTAGTGACATTTATCAATGAGAATTAAAACAAGAATCTCTACTCTGAGTGTACTGTTGAGAGGGCGTAATCCTGAGAAATCAGGTCGTGAAACTGCCCCTTTCCTCCACGGAAGTTTGGCTGATCATTGTCTCTGAGTATCTAGGCTCGCATACCCAAACTCGGAAAATAACCTTTCAGTGAGCAGCACAGGGAGGTTTGCTGTGAAGAGACTCTGAGAACAAGCAGAGCGTATAAGCCACAGTAAGGGGCTGGACGGCAAAGTGCTACAGGGACACCACTACATCAGCAAAAGTCACACAATGTAGTGCCCAGCTAAACTTGGAGGAAGGAGCAGCAGCAACCAGATTAGGTGCGTTAGCTGCCTCCCCTAATTCATTCAGGTGGCGGATGGAGTAGAAATGAGGCTTTATGTACCAGGGCACGCTTTGGTGCCAGGTCTTTGATTTCACACAGGAGTCTGAGCAAGCTGCCGGAACCAGCTCACAGCTGATACACTTTCAGCTTTGCTACAAGGGGCAGGGACTTATAGCTTGGTCTTCCCTATTTTACCAACACCATATGTACACAGACTGAGGGATTTTGTATAGTCCAAGCTGGTTTACTTGGTATTAGCCTTGCACCCTCACTCGGAACACAATTTATGCCTCCAAATGTATTGTTATAATGGCTTTTTTTGCACCCCATTCATCCTGTGGACAATAAAACTTCAAGGATTTCCAAGTGCAAAGCTCTGTATACTCAAGGGGAAAGAGAGAGGATGCAGGATGGATTTTATTTTTAGGCGTTCCTTTTAGAGCCTTCTACAAGTTTAGAAAATGTTAAAAAAAAAAACAAAAAAAAAAAGGTGCAGTCTAAAATTGTTTCACAACACTTAAATACAGGTGCAAATTCCTCCATCGTTATATGCAGTGATTATTATGTATTTTACCAGGTAAACTTTTGCTTGCTTTTGCAACAGATGTCAGTTTAAAGAATGTCTTCTATTTTTGCTGACCTTCACAATCAGTACTGATCGATTGGAGCTTCACTTTTGTTTCCCAAAAATCAAAGTGAAATAAAACGCCTTGAGTGGAAATCAAAAGTCTTTGACATATAGCAGAAAGCTTGCTGTGCAATATTAGTACCCAAAGGCAGCTCAGAATTCTTTAAGAGCAACATGCTTTCACCTTGAACATTTCAAATTTAACCTGAAGACTTAAATCATAGCAATCTTTACCATGCAGGTACAATAAAACTAACAGATTGGAAAATATCTTTTTATGTTTAACTCTGTACCTGAATATTTCATTGTGCTTTAGGCAGTAGTAAGCCAGCACTTCTTCGGATGGCCAGAGACCTATAAAACAAAGATATTCCCCTTAGAACAGAATAATTTTTTTTCTGTCTAAAATAACATTTGAATACATATTACCATTTTCAGACCTCTACCAACTGTTTCATTTTCTAAATTTGCCATAACACCATGGAATAAAGAAACAAATCAAACATTTAATGGAAGACTTCTGATTTAAGCATTGAAACTGAATATTTCATAGATTTCATCCTGACTGATGATCAGAAATTTGCTTTATAGATACACGCACACACACATATACATACATAGAGATCTATACATATGAATACAATTGTCGACATTAAAAGTTATATAAAATTTATTTCTATGAAACTTCTGACATTTGGGCATTGACATGAACAGCAAACTGTGTTTATCTCTTAGGTTTTGTTGGGTCAGGCATCAGCCTGACTGCAAGGGACCCTGACCAGCAACCATGCTAAGGACAAATACAGGACTAAGGAAATAATGCAGCATGGTTTTTAGTTGTAGCTCAGGAAGTTCCTGAGGAGGAGAGGAGACACTAGTGATAACTTCTCTTTAATAGTCACCAGAGGATTTTTCTAGTTGTTCTGCGGACTGCAGTAAACTTTACAGTGCTGCAACATCTGTGGCAGGAAGCATCACAGTTTTACTGTGCTGTATAAAGAAACATCTCCTTGCTCTTGTTTTGTACTCGAATCCTTGCATTATTTGAGGCCCTCTAATTCTCATACAGCAAGACACAAGTAATCATGCTTTTTTTACCTAATCTGTATTATACATGACTTGATAAGCTTCCATCATAAAACTTACACCAGTCATTGTCAATCCTGGCAAGTAGTTGGGGGCATCCATGCAAATTTATCCCTCCAACGGGATTCACTCATGAAACATGCTGTTTTGTCAGACCAGTTTCCCACCTCACTTGATCACTAACTGAAGTGCTGTGGCCCACAGAAAGGGCAGCACAGATCCTGCGTGGCTTGCACGCTCTCCTGCAGGCATCAGTCTCCATTACTGGAGGGAGCCTGTAGAAAACCGACTCGTATTCAGGCACTTGAGTTAGGTTCCCAAAGTTAAGGGAGGATGAACAAAGGCACATGTGGCCAACTTACAGCTGTGTGCGTTTTTCATCTGTTGTTGCTTAGCAATGAAAAAACATGCTTACATGTCTATCCACAGGCAAAACCCAGGGTTTGCCTGCCTGCCCCCACAACACACAGCATTATGAATTACTGTTACAGAAACTTAATATTATGAACTACAGACACTTCAGTGGTTTCAGTAAACTTAAAAACAAACATGTGGGAGCATCCTTTAGATATTTCTAGACAGGTAAACTGAATTCCATGCAGCCTATTATGCATGCGCATCCTTTTAGCCATTTTTTACAATTTTTTAATTCTCAAGACTTTAAAAACATCACCCACATATTTTATAGAAGTTTGAGAGAAAAACTGTTTCTTTTTAAATCCCTTAGGGGCTGACTGCAACCATCAAATACGTAATTCTTTTCCATCTAGTAAGTATTCTGAACTACCCTTATTATAGTGATAAACAATGAAAACTTATGAATGTGTTGTCTGCATGCAGATCAAGCAAAAGCCTAGACAGGATTTGGCCAAAACACTGCATATTACTTTTGTATGACAAAGATCATAAAGGTAAAAAAAACAGTGACAATACATATGTATGACAAAAACACTAAAGCAGTATTGCTATTTGTCCTGTTTATGACAGTTTAGACTGACTAGATGTTTGTGAATTTGCTCTTTTGCTTAGACCTCCTAAGGGTTAAAATAAAATATTCACACACGACTACCCATTCTTCAGTGAAACATACACTAAGAATTGTACAGGATTTTCCATCTCTCTTTTGAGCATTTCAATGCTTTTGAGCATTGAAATATGCTAAAATGACAGATTTTGCAATAAATATAATAACTGTTTAAATATTTTAGTGTATAATATAAAGAATGTTTCAGTTTGCAGTGACTGGTGTATACTCAAGCAATAAAAGCACTTTTTTAATATTTAGTGAAGACACGGTTAATTTAATACCATTTATAATACTTATATCTCACATTACAAAAAAAACCCCACACCCACAAACACAAAAAACCTAAACTCTTTTATAGCAAACTTTTAGCCTGAGTGAGTTTTAAAAATACTTGTCAGTTGTAGTAAAATCCTTCAGCATCTGAGTTTTCAGTACCCTCAGTCAAATGTCTCTCACTTTTCTACGGTTATTATTGAAAGGGCACTTTGAATGGTGTCACTAAATCTTTTATGAGGGGTCACTGTTCTTTCCCCTGCTACCATTACAATGTTGATACCGGCTGAATCTGCAGGTGTATCAGATAGCTCTGTGCTGAGAGAAGGGTAAAGCACCTTTGGAAAGACAATGCTTTTTCTTCAGGCAGATGCTAGCAATGCAGGCGACTCTCCTCCCCGCTCCCTTCCCCCACAGGGAAGGAAGTATCACCTCAGCAGTGATACAAGAGGCTTGGCAGCTAAAGAAGCAGGAGTCAGGAGGTCCTTTACAAGCACAGGTCTCAAGTGTGGAAGCACACACTGCTTCCAGCTAAGCCGAGAAGGCAGAATACCTGCGTTAATTTTAGTAAAAGGAAAAGCTTTTTGTGCATGAACAGGTAGGTAAGCCTCTTTACCTTCAAAACAGGGATAAGCTTAAAGATCCACGTGGAGGAGTTTGCATTCTGTCTTCTTCCCCTTCACTCTGACCTACATTCACCAACACAATGACCTACATTTTGAAGTTGCAAGTGTAAGATAGTTCTGCTTCTGTTAGAAGGCATACAGCTGTAATGCAGAAATGCAGCAATTCCTATGAGTTAACAACTAGTACTAAGTTGTGAAAAGCATATTTTATCTCCTGAAAACACATACATATGGATATGGATTGTTTCCTGTCAACATACTTAAAATATTTATTTAAAATTATTCTATTTTTAAATTTTGAATTTGATTATAAATACGTAACATTGAATGGGTACTTATTTTCATGTGCAATTACTTACAAATTATAGTCAATTTATACTTGTATAGGCAAAAGAATATCAAAAGGCCCCTAAATGGGGCTTGTATTTAAAAGGCTATAAATATGCTAGACAGAGGGGTTAAAAATCTCACTGTACAACAAAACAGAGAGAAATAAGAGTTTCCTTTTGCAAAAATAAATATTTTGCAACATTTTTCAGAGGTTTTAAAAATCTTTATCACTTTGATATAAATACAATGTGAAAACAGAGAATAGTTGCCAGAAAACATTGGAATGTCTACTGAAACAAACAAAAAAATTAAGTTGTGTTGGTGTTTCAAGGAAAGCCTGAAGAAGGACTGTGATTTGGCATGTCTGAAGACATGAGAGAGAGAGACAGTGCTCACAGAGCAACACCTGCCTGCATTTCAATTCTTGCCAAGTATCCTTTCACCATTAGGATGGAGTAGGACATCCACTACAAATGTGCCATAAGAGCGATGGTCTATTTCCAGACAGCTTCATCATACTTACTACAGTAGAAGGGGTAGAAAAGCATTATCACTAAATAGTATGATGATGGATGGAGAAATGCTATATATGCAGAGACATACAACATACAGGCATTTCTCCAGCACTTATCACCACATTATGAAATCTCGCCATAGTAATGGAGTCTACCTCACAAGAACTTGATGACATCATGGATTTCTATTGTCCCAGTTTTGCACATTAGGAATCAAACTAGAAGACAGAGGCAGATTAAGTTGCTTAAACACACAGTATGAAATTATGGGAAGGCCAAGAAAAAAACCTGAGTCATCCTAACACCCTGGGGTATGATGTAACCAAAGAAGACACCTATAGAGGAACAACACTAACAGAAATCACAGTAATGCTAAGAACACATATATTAAGTTGGTTTTATTACTCTCATAGTGTTTGCTATCAGAAGGTGTCTGGTCCTTCCGCACTGGCCATGGCACAACAGTTCTTTTAAAGCAACCTTCAAGCTAGGTGGACTAAATCATGCATAGACAGCCTTCTGAGAGTGTTTTGTTTTAACCATCAGGTGGAGCACCACTAGTTCAAAGCAACACAAACCCCATGTTTCTTCTGCACCAAATCTAAAAATGTTGAATCACGTACGATATTACAGAATATTTTCTACCAGAAACAACTTATACAGTTTTAAATTTAAAAATAAATTTAATTTTTCTCCTCTGTAGCTTTTTACGATATGTTATAAAGAATGCCGTCACACGTTTAGAAAACAAATATTGAGATCTAATGTGAAGTTCTTAAAGAACAGCATGTGATTAGAAAATTCTCTCTAGAGAATTCTCTAGAGTGCTGAGAATTTTGATTATTGGAGCTATTATGCCTCTGCACTGCTCCACAGGTACAAAGAAGTCACAGTAGCTACTGATTATGTTAACTGCAATAGCGCAAGATTAGTGGAACTCTGCTCTGCTGTCTGCCAGTGCTACACACAGGAAACAAAGGGGCAACTGGAGTTGACAAGGGAACCTTCCCTTGAAGCTCTGAGCATAAGGTATAAAGCTGTCCTACAACTGCTTCACTTGTGCTAGGAGATTTAAGAAGTTCCCTTCCAAGATAAGCCAAACAGTTTTGTCACTTTTTTCTAGCACTTCACATGGCTACATGTACAGACAATTAAAATTTTTGTCTTTTGTTTGCACTATTGAACTGTGAGATGTCTTTCTATTCATTCGAAGTTTCAAGTAAATTTTGCCCAAATCCTATCTTAACCCTCAAAAGCAAAGACAATTTAATTTTGACTACATGAAGTCACCTTATTTGCTTTAATATGAATCAAGGCAAGAGGAGAAAAAGGATAATGAGCAGAGATTAATAATGTCTCAAAAGAAGTACCAACAATCACACTGAGCAATGATGAATTGTTTTCTGACCCTAAGAAAACAATTATCCCTCCTGACACCAAGTCACATTGTTGGTGGGGAGTAGAAAAACCTCCAGAATCAGAATGGACTGTGCAGAG